TCCATTTTTCTCCTTTACAAATAATGCTTTAGTGAACATCCTCATTCGTATATCTTTGTATAGTTTTTTGAATATTTTAGTAGAATTTACTTCTACATGTGAAATTGCCATATCAAAGGATATACATATTTAAAATTTTGGTTGCCCTTCAAAAATCTTATAACAATTTAAATTCCCACCAAAAATGTGTGGCATTTTCATTTAGTTTTAATCAGCAGTTTCTTGATTTTTAGTGAGTTTGAAAATATATCCATAAGTGTTATTTGTCATTTTTTCCCCCATGTATTGTCCATTTATACACTCTCAAAATTTTAGTGGATTGTTTAATTTTAATGGATTTATTGGAATTCTTCACATTTTAGGATATTAATTGTTGATGTATCTCAGTTTCCCCCCCATATGTACTTGGGCTTTTCTACTGTGTTGTTCCTTCTTTCTTTAAAAACTAAAAAAGGAAAAAAAAAATGACATGGTCATATTACCAATCTTCACCTTTTGCCTTTGGAGTTTTGTGTTATGTGTTAGGATCACCTTCCCGTCCTAAGACTTAAAAATATGCACCTACGTTTTGCCCAATACTTATCGTTTTGGTTTTTCTGTTTAGATCTTAAGTCCACTTGGAATTTGTTTTTGGCTAAGGTGTGAAATAGAGCTCTAAATAATTTTCATACGCATGGAAGTTTTCTCCAAAACCACTTAGTGGATAGTCTTTCATTCCCCCTCTACTGGGAAATGTTACCTTGATGATGTGCTGCATTTCTGTGCACACACGCATCTGCTTCCAAACTTCTAAATTTTTCCATTAATTGTTTTCTGTGATTGCACTGGCACCATGCAGCTTTATTATAGTTTGCATAGTGTATTTTTATATCATTGCTATCACTGCTCAGTTGTTTTTCAAATGTCACTGGCTACCGTGGTACATTTTCTGTTCTAGGTTCCAAGTTCTGAAACTCACACTTCCCAAAATAACCACTGAAATTTTCATTTGAATTGAATTGAATTTATGTAATATTTAGAGAGAATTAGTATCTCTATGATATTAAGTCCTCATATCCATGAATGCAGTATCTTTTAAGTATTTTTTAAACCTTAGCAAAGTGGTACAGTTTTTGTTTTCATGTTGTTATTGCATATGTGTGTTTACTCCTAGCTATTTTGTAGTTTTAATTGCTATTTTAAATGAAAATTTTTATCCATTACATTGTCTAATTAATGATTGATGGTATGTAGAAAAGAAATAGATTATATTTATATATGGCCACCCTACTGATTTTATTTAAAAATTTTTTTCAGCCAGTTGTTTTGGGGTCCACAAACTTTTTCTGCAAAGGGCCAGATAGGGAATGTTTTTGGCTTTGCAGTTCATAGGATCTCTGTTGCAACTACAAGAGGTCTTCAAAAAGTTTATGAAAAGATTCATATTATCTTTTAAATCTATTTTTCCACAAAACTTTTGAAGTACCCTTATACTCAACTCTGCCATTGTAGTGCAAAACCAGTCAGAGACAATATATAAATGAATGGTGTGGCTGTGTTCCAATAAAACTTTATTTACAAAAACAGGCTGCTGGCTGGATTTGGCCATTGGGCATGGGACATGGTTTGGTGACTGTGTTCTAAAAATGTAAATATATCAATATGTCTTTGTCTCCAAAACACTGGACTTCAAAGAGTGTTGAATAATAAAGGTGATAATAGTCACCGTGGTATTGTTCTTATTTAAGGTGTTAAGCTCTTGGTATTTCACCATTAAGTTAGACGTTGCTTATTCATTTTTTGATATTAATTTTGTGTTTATCCAGTTGAAGGTATTTCCATATATTCCTAAATTACTAAGAGATTTTAACAACAATGTGATTGAATTTTATCAGATGCTTTGTGTTAACATTTCCACTATTATTATTTTGTATATAAACAAAATACCTTATATTGAACTGTCCTCTAATTCCTGGAATAAATGATTCCATTTTCTACATTTCATTTAAGATTTATATTCATATATTCTACATATATATTCATAAATAAAGCTATAGTTTTCTTTTTATAGTATTTCTTTGATTTTTAGTACTATTCTAACCTTACACAATGAATTAGGAAGCTTCCCATCTTTTTCTATGTTTTAAAACACTTTAAATGGTATTAAAATTAGCTATTTTTGGAGGTTTGCCAGAACACTCAAAAACCATTTGGATCTAGTGAACTTTTTCAGTGATGAATCTCTGTCCTTTCAATTTCTTCTGTGTTATTGATCTACAAATCACTGTCTCCCTCCACATGTCACGTCTCTTTGTCCTTGACAACTAAAGTCTGAGCTGTTCTGGGACACTTTTTACTTAGGCTTGCCCTTGTGGAAACCGGTCAGCCAATTGAAAGGGTAAGTGCAGAAGAAAACTTGCCATAGCTTACAATATCCTAGTTGGCCTACCGCCCCACTTCTGCTTGGACTCAAGAAAAGTTAAACTATGTAATGGAGGAAGGTCAGAGGACAGGGTTCTGAACAAGTGGAAACCGTGAGAGAACCAACCTCTTTAGAAATAAAAATAGTTGGTAAGGAGGGGTCCAAGGCCACTTGATTGGAGAGGGGGGCTATCCTTCCTCCAACTTCCAATTCCACCTGGATTTGTTAATAGCACCAGCGCTTCATAGAAAGGAGTCATGCACCTTGGAAAACTGAATGAGTCTTTAGGCTCTGGAGGCTTTGGGCCTCGTACTTTCTATTGAGTCACCAGGTCCCATTTGCTTGGACAGTACCACCCTGGTCCCAGGTAACGGGAACCCTGGGTCATAGAGCTCCCTGGCCTCCCCAGGCCCCCCATCCGTGGAAAGCACCCTCTCCCTGGGGCAGGGCAGGAAGTACACAGAGCTGCCCATCTGGAGCCTGCCCTCCCTCCTCTGAACCGTGCTCAGGTGCAGGGGCCTGGGACTCCTTGCCCAAATGGCCCAGGCAGTGGGGCCTGTTCAGTGTCCTCAGCGTGCAGACCCTTGTGCCCAAGCTGCGGCTCAGGGGGGCCTCATGTGGTGCAGGACTGAGCCACAGGTGAGAACAGAGGTAGCGCTGTGGGTCCACCTGTACTCTTGCTTCACATCTACACAGTGGTGACGACTGGGTACACCCCTTGCTGGGGCGCAGAAGGATTAATTGCAGGAATGTGGTAAAGGGGATGTTTTTGTTTCCTTTAGAGGCTAATATCCAGGTTTTCTAGCCCAGAGTTCAGGTAGGGAGGAAGAGATGCCAGGTGGAAGCATCTACACAGTGGTGACGACCGGGTACACCCCTTGCTGGGGCGCAGAAGGATTAATTGCAGGAATGTGGTAAAGGGGATGTTTTTGTTTCCTTTAGAAGCTAATATCCAGGTTTTCTAGCCCAGAGTTCAGGTAGGGAGGAAGAGATGCCAGGTGGAAGNGACTGGGAACACCCCTTGCTGGGGCGCAGAAGGATTAATTGCAGGAATGTGGTAAAGGGGATGTTTTTGTTTCCTTTAGAGGCTAATATCCAGGTTTTCTAGCCCAGAGTTCAGGTAGGGAGGAAGAGATGCCAGGTGGAAGCTGCAGAAGGACGTGGGAGCCTGCACTGGCTGTCCTCCCAGGGCTGTGTCTCTCTGACTGGGAGCGGAGGAGGCTCCTCCAAGACACACCTTTCATATCATGAACATCTGCCCTTAGGCTCTTTCTCATGTTTTGTTTACTGTTTTCTAGACCAGGGCAAAATCAGATGTAATCTTCCTGCTTCTCCACCCAAGTTTTAAAATATCCTTTTTGGGACTGGTGGGAGGACCTGGGTGGTCCAGAGAAACAGCTTGGAGATCTTGCCTCCAGGGAGGCAGACAAGCCCCGAGGAGGGGAAAGCCCAGAGCAGAATAGGAAAAGCAATTCAGTGCTCCTTTGCACACGCTCCCATTCTTGGGAAATCTTTTCGTTCCCCAGAGTCATGATTACTTTTATAGGGTTATTGGCCCAAAGGCAAAATCTCTTCAAGCTGAAACATCCACACTGAGCTTCAGCTAGAATTATGGGGGCGGGGAGAGGACTATGGTGCTGGTCAGTCTGCCCTGAGGTTAGGGTCATGCAGCTGGGGCTGTAAGCCACGGCCTTTACTCAGGGGACATTTCAGCTTCAGGAAGGCCAGTGCCCTGTCACATTGCCCACGTTTGCTCATTGGCTGAAACTTGCCTTTCGCTATATGGGGCTAAACCTCCAGTTGAAGGCTTTGATTCTAACACACCGGAGTGTGCTCGGGAGGCTTCCAGGGGGCCTTGCCGGGCGCGGCGTGGAGGCGCAGGAGGCCGGAGGTGCCGCGTCCCGCCGCCGTCCCCTCCGCAGCAGGTGAGCTTTCGCTCGGTTGCTGCAGCCACCGCGGACACCTTCCTCGCTCACGGTCTGTTTAAGCATCTAGAGGTAGACACTGGGGTTGACAGCACTCGGAGCTCGTCTCGGTGGCGGTGGCGTTGGTCCCCCTACAGCTGACGTCTGGCTGCAGCTCGCGCCGCCCCGCGCTGGGAGTGACCGCGGGGCGCGACGGCTCCGCCTCCCGGGGACAGAGGCTGGTGGCCGGGCGGCCAGCGCGAGGGGAGCTCGCCAAGGCCGAGGACTCGGCAGAATCGCGACACGCTTCTGCTCACTTTGGTGCTCTGAAGAAACAGAACCTCGGCTTGCCCTGGAAAAATCCCTTCCATCAGGGAATTCCTTCCTGGCTCTGTGGAGGAGGAAAAACTAGGAGGTGCCCCTGGAGGGAGAGCGGGTGGCAGGGAGGGAGAGCGGGTGGCAGGGAGGGAAAGTGGGCGCCGGTGCCGGGACAGGCCGTGAGAACTCCCTGTATTTTCTGCTCAGGTTTGCTGCAAGCCTAAGACTGCTCCCAAAATAAAGTTTATTCATTTTTAAAAAGTTATCAGAAAAAGAACACCTACAGTCGGTCACATGTGACTAATAACACCAACACTGCATTGTTAACAAAGAACACAATATTATCATTATAAGGAATTTAGGAGTAAAGAACAACGAATCATAAACATCTAATTTTTAATACTCAGTATACAATCAACATGTTCTGATCAACAGTACAAACCACATAAAAGAGAATCTTGCTTTTTTTCATTTGTACAAATACTGTTTTCATCATTGCAAAACTTTACAAGGTTAAAATGTACCATATTAGAAGCCAGAAAGCTATTGCTAGAATGTTTCTAACATGAAGTTATTGCTGTTGTTAGTTCCATCATCACCTCTAATACCAGCCATCAGATCCATAGGATCGCTTCATTTCCAAGAGATTATATTATACAGCAAGATTATTTTGTAGCCAAATCAGGTCAATAGGGTTTTTGTTTTAAAATAAGTAAATTAATCGAAAAATGTATGTATTTAAGTTTTCTCCTGTAGTGTTGTCTGCTAGGTGAGAGGATGGAGATTATTAGTACTTCTGCTGGTAATTGAGAAGGGCAGATTTTCCACCTTAGAGGACACAGTATGGCTGTGCAGATATGGATGGGAGAAAAAAACAAAAAAAACTAGCTACTTCAGTTTTTATCCAGGTGTAAGTTATGAAAAAAGTATAAAAAGTGTTTCTTAAAGCAATAATCCTCTCTCTGGATTTTCGTTTTTATAAAAGACCTCCAACTACTTATGCAAACCACTTGAAGTCTGCCTTTTGTAATGTAAGTGATAGGTCAATGTTTTCACATCCACCCCGGAAATAAAGGTTGCTTGGTTGCTCAAGGAGAGCAATGATGTCAGCTGAACAAGCAGCAAGAATACATATTTTATTTTACTGTCAGTCCACCTTTCGTGGAGAGAACTAGAAAAAAAGGTACCTGTTTCCCATTTCCTTTGCTTTTAATTGACTGGTTAGACACTCTCCCTTCTTGACCAAGCATCTTGGAAACTCTCCAGGTTCCTGAATCTGTACCAGATGCTGAGTCCTCTGGGCCCAGGAGTTACCTACACCTGCAGAATTAGCCAGCAAGTCCCAATCCCTGTGGCTAATCCCTAGGCTGGTGGTTCTCAAATTTGGCTGCAAATTGGAATGACCTCAGGAGCTTTAAAAAGTACAAATGCCTGGGTTTCACCCCTAGAGACTTGTATTTTATTGGTCTGAAGTGCAGCTGGGCTTGAAGATTTTTAAAAGCTCCTCAGGTGACTTCACTGTGCAGCCAGGCTGAGAACCCCTTCTCTAGGGTGGCCCTGCTTAGACTTGGTAAGACTGTTGATGGATTTCATCGATATATTGCATAACCAAACATGCTGAACATTATTAGGGCTCTCCACGTATTTCTAGTTTATAGGGGTAAATGCATATCAACTGTAAATACAAAAATAAAATAATCTGCATTGAAGTCAGAGTAGTATACATAAACCAGCAAAGTGCTGTATTATTGCTTTTCTTACACTGATAGGGTCATATTGATAGATGATCAGAGTAGGGCATACACTTTCCATTAACAGTGCCCTGAACAGACTCAACAGTACCTGCTACAGGCCAATTCTAAGCTAAATGTGCTTTCCATCTTTTCTAGTTGTGTGAATATAAGAATGACGATTCTCCTTTTCACCATGGCAGTGACCTAGCTTAGCTCTGCAATGAAGTTGTACCTCTTTATAAGAGAGAAAAGACTTTTCTCTTGCTACAATTTAATCTTTTTAAACAGAGATTTCAGTTTCAAATTTCGATTCTGTTGCAGTCTTTCTAAAGTAAACTGTTTCCTTTAGTAGAAAATGAGTTTCCTAAAAATATACTTTACAAAGTTCAGTGCTACATAAAGAGGACAATACCCCCCACAAAAAAGTTATAAAAATAGATTTACATTTAAAAGTCCTGTCTGAATGTGTCTTTTAATAGTTCCAAGATGTATGGCAGGTGTGGCTGGTAAAAGAGGCAGGGATTTCTATTCAGTAAGGATTTACAGTCCCCAGGCAAGGAAATATAAACAGATCATTATATTGTGATAAAAAAACATGTGCTTATCACAAGAAAGAAATGCAAAGTAGACATTAAGGGCAATGTCATAGCTGCCGCTTAAGAGGGAGCAACTCATTCATGAGGGGGAGGGAAGAAATTGATTTTTATAATCTACTTAGAAAATGCAGTGTCCCAAGGCTTTATCAAGGCTCAGATTTGTGTATTCGCAACTTTCAAGACAAACTGCTGGTGACAACAAATTGGACATCTTTGGAATGGCCACTAGTGGCCAAGACTCAGGCATATCAGTGACTACAAACCATTCTGTTCGCTGCATATGGGAATCTACCCTACTCAGGCTCTTTTATTCTACCATGACTTGGGGACATGGTATAGACTTGCAGCCTCATACACCTGAAGGAGACCCTGGAGATGAGGGTTTCAACCCTGATTGTTATAGTCTCCTGGGGAGCCCCTGAGATTCTGACAGAATTGGTCTGCAGGGACCACAGACCCTTTCTTTTTAAGGTCCCCAGGCGAGTCTTCTTTGCAGTAAGGTGAGAGCTGGTAGGTCACCATCACACGACCGTTTCATCCTACAGACGTGCAGCCAGAGGCCCCCAGCCTGCGATGAGGCTCACCTCTCAGGCCTAGTCTCTATACCAGGGGTTCTGGAAACTTGTGGTGCACACCAAAATGTCCCTGGGCACAGGCTGCACCTGAGAAAAATCAGTGTTTCTGGATGGGACCCAGGGGATTCCCAAGGTCAGCCAAGCTCGAGAACCAGTGGCTGTTGTGTTTATGTGTCCATGGTGGGTTCATACTTGCAGTTTGGGATGGGGGGAGGCGGGGCTAAAGCACAAATGTAAGAACTTGTGACAACTCCTGAGCTTTGCTATCATCAGCTGGTAGTCCACGTGACGCCTCCACAGTGCTCCTACTTAGAAAGTCAGTGGTAACTCAAACTCATTGCAAGTTTTCATCTCTTTTTTACTTCCTGGAGTATCATTACAGGGACTCCTTAGAGATTATATGAGAAGAGGTATGCGAGGACCACAGCCCATGGTGAGTGTGAGCCCCAACTCTAACTTTCACGTGAACTGTTCCCGTAGGCCAGGACTGAGGCTGGGCCCATGGGGGAAGGTCTTTTAGGAACTGAGGGGGAAACAGCAGATGGGCTGTCTGGAGAGCATTAGGGACTGGCTGTCACTGAGGAGGATCCGAGATGACAGAGGACAAGCCTTGAGATGAGGCCAGCAGGGGCTGTGATATAGACATGGTGGGACCCTGGCCCGCCCACAGCAGGTGCCAGGGTCCCGAGAGGCGGCTGTGGCTTTGCAGCTTCCACAAGCCCCTCCTGCCTCCATGGACAGATGTAGTGAGAACATTTTGGGAAACCCAATATTAAAATGGAAATTAGCAACTAAATTTTATGCCAGAAAATTGAAATATAAAGGAGAAGGAAGCTTGAAGTTTTTGCTGTTTTATTACGTAATAGTGAAGTATTTCAAACTATAAAAATACTAGGATTTAACTGCTATAACTTGGCTTACAACTGCCATCCCTCATCAATCATCTTCTTCTTTTTTTTTTTTTCCTTTAAATTTTTATTTTGTCAATATACAATATAGTTGATTATTATGGCCCATCACCGAATCATCTTCTTCTTAATAGGAGACAGCCGAGTGTGAGCCATTGTGTTTCCCAGTTCTCAGTAAACATCTGACTAAAATGTGCTGAGGTGAATAAATAATAAAAGTCGTTTCCTGACAATGGCATAAAATCTCAAGACTCTTAGAAATGTTCTTGATCCTCTCACTAATCATTCTCAAAGGTGACAGCCTGAAAGCCTCGCTGGGGATGCAACGCTTGGAAAACGTGGGGTGCTGCAAGCCAGACCCCCAGGCTGTTAGGGTGACAGGATTACTAGCAGACACCTCTGGCAGATGCCTTCCTGGAGGGTCAGGCTCCCTCTGCTGGGAATGCACCTGCCATGTCCCTGTGGCGGAGCCCCTGGCAGTCTGTGAGGCCCAGCTCCAACGTGGCCTCCTTGCATGACCTCCCAGGGCTCCTGGTAGAAGCCACCTCCTGCTCTGTGCTCTCACAGTGCTCAACTGACACGTCTTGTCTGGCATTTAGCATATTGTTTTAAGGTTAGGATTTATGAGTCCATTTCCTCTGCTAAATTGTGAATTTCTCAGAATCAGGGATTATATCCTATTTATTTTTGTATTTTTAGTACCTTTGCTAGGCTGGCATAGGTGCTTAAGAGAACTGTAATGGAACTGAATTGGATGTGGTTTTATTTCCACTAGGACAATATCAAATATTTTCATAACAGAACTGTGGGGCTCTAATTGATCAGAGTCAATAAATAATTTAAAAGCAAAATGACAATTTGTGTGTGTATGTGTTCCATCTTAATAAAAGGCTACAGGTCTGAAGGTCAAGGAGTCAGATATGGGCTGGATCTCAGTTACTGTCTGATGTACCATCTTCTCTGGCCAACGTCATGACAACCACAGGGAAAGTGCACTAAGTTTCAGAACAATGGAATGGAAAATAAACAAGCAAGTCTAATGCTCCTATGCAGAAAACCCTGGTTAACCAGTGGGGAGTAGGTATCATTTATACAAAAGCAAGTCGGAGGAAGAATTCTACCCCTTCCATTTCTTCTCTGCCCAGGAAGGGACAAAGTGGCTTATCCTATCGTACCTGCCATAATGTGATACAGTCCCAGTCAGGCCTGCTAAGGACACAAACTTCTTGTCTTGCAATGGAAGCGTCTCGAAGCAGAGCCAGTGGAATGAAGAGTTAGCTGGAAGACTTGTGGCCGTGCTCCTTGGTCACAGCAGGGCCTGGATCAACTCAGTGTCGCAGGTGCTATGAGCAAGCTTCTTCCTCATCAGAAGAGCCCATTAAAATCAATAGTGACAAAACCCACAAAGATCCCCAAACAATAAACTGCCTTGTACCTTATTTTTTTTTTTCAAATGCACCTCACCAAAAGGCAGACTTCTGCTCAAATGGACAGCATTCTTGCTGGGTGCCTTTTTGTGGAAACTTCACAGTCTGAGGGCAAAGGAACGGACCTGCAACTTCCCAAAGCGCATTCAAGTGGGGACACTTGCTGCTTGAAAGAGGGGCCAGTTGGAGCAAACGTGGCAAAACTGGTCCCGGGTCCTAGAGTTAACATGGGCGTGGTGATCAGGCCTGGGGTGGTGCCATGACTTGGTCCTGGGAGGCTGAGGAGTCTGTAAATTTTATGGCTGATATTCTCCTCCACAATCAGGCTCCGATAAATTCACTGCTTGGTGGTGCTACCCTTAAGTATTCTGCATTCTCAGCTGTAGGACCCTTAAAGATGCCATTTGGCTTGGCTTCCTTGGGAAGGAAGTCCTGTTGGTAGTCAGGGTTGTCTAGGCTAATTTGGTGGTTGCCTTTCTGGGCCCAGCGGGCAGGGCTGTCAAATGCCCTGTTGACGCAGGTAGATGGGGTGGTGTTGAGATACTCAGGGTTGTCCACTGCGTGGCTGTGGGGATTCTGATAGTGGGGGTCACGGCCAGGAGCGGGATTCAGAGGCTGATTGTGATAGACGGGATTCTGCACAGAGCCTGCCGGCCTTTTGGGAACAGACTGGTTTATGTATTCTGAAATGGAAAAGAAATCAGAGGTGTGGTAAGCAGCAAGCCTCGTCTCGAGCAGGATCCCGCGGCTCATTTTAACCCTGCAAGTGTCTTGAACGAGGCAAGTGATGATGGGGGTGGGGGATAGCCCTGGGAGAAGACCCTCGTGCTGTTGCGGCAGAGTAAGTTGTGTCCTCTTCTGCACTTCTCAAAGCAAGGGGCACAGGCATCTTTTGCACATTTAAAGTTCTCAGAGCACAGCCTGCCTCGAGGGTGTGCGTGAGAGAGTGAGCAGGTTGGGAGCATCTGGGGGTAAAGCTTAGATTAGGAAAACACATGTTTCATAGGACAGGAATGGAGCCAGGAGAGAGAACAGCTACCGAATCTGTTGTGTACATATACATACACACATGTACATGTATATCTTTGCTGTTTGCTCCAAATTCTATAAAATCTGTAAATGCATTCCTAAAACAAACCTACAGCAAACCACCTAGACATAGCTTGAGCTCAACACAAGACCTTGTGCTGCTCAGTGGTTCTACATCTGCCTGCCTCTTACTCCTTCACCATACCTATGGGTTTGCCAGTCTCTACCTCAGGTTCAGCTGGCTTGGGGACTCGGGAATGCAGCACAGCCGCTGCCACTTGGGGCCGGGAAGCTGAGGAGCACAACTGTGCCCGGAGTGAGCTACTCACCGGGCACCGGGAGGAAAGAGTCGTCTATGCTGTCCTCACTCAGGGCGCCAGTGGGGTC